AAAGCCTGAGGGCTATTTTTCATTTCAAGTTCGAGCATATACTCACTCAACCATCAAGCCCAAGGGCTACCTTACCTCATCGACTGTTTGGCCTAAGAGCTACTCAAGCTCAAGTTCAAATGGTTATTCGGGGTTCATTGATCAAAAACGGTCGAGGGCTGTACTTATTGTCGGCCATTACCATCTCAAAAGTTTGGACATTCAAAGGAAATTTTATGCTAAGACACTCTGACCCGCACAAAAAGGTAACAGATTCAGGAGCCATGAAAGGATAAAAGCTTTGTATAAACTTATTTACAAGGGCTATAGGTCACGATCAAGAATGCCTCACAAGGGTCGATCAGCCTCAAAAGCGAAAAATCACGAAGAACACGAAACCTAAGCAGCGCGGTCCTTATCGGCAGAAGCGTCTTCACCCTCAGAATCTTCTCCACCCCCGGGCTCGCTAGAGTTCTCGGAGTCGTCCTCGGGAAAGGCCAGCTTCCAAACCTTTGTTTCCTCAGTCGCTTACGCCACGATGATGATGTCGTAACAAATCGGGGTAAGGATCAAGGATTCAATTCGTTTCTTATCATCTTACTCTAATAAACGCGGGGATTATCTGTATACGGTCGAAATCGGCTATGCCCAATTTCCCGGGCTCGAGGGGACACCTTAAGCCCGAGTCGAGGATGGATCAAGTTCGAGCTCGATGGACCAGGCTCGAGCTCGATGACATAGTACAAAGTTCGAAGAACTAAGTGTTCGAGAAACGTCGAAGCCTAATATGACTGGCCTCGAGATAATGCCGTTGTGGATTTGTAACAGAATGAGCAAGATTCCTACCACGTCCCTAAGATCGTGGCGTAAATCGCGGAATAGATTTGTACGATTCCGTACTAGGCGGTTAGACAGCTGTACCAATAATATTCCTTACTGTAAATAGAAATGTACCTTATTTAGGGTTTCCCTATTATATAAAGGGGACCCCAATAATTTGTAACATCATCTCATCATTGGCAAGAATATACTATCCTACTTTTCTCTCTTACTGTTCATCAGAATTGTCCTTTACATTTTGTTGTTCTTACTTTATTGCTCTTAATCCATCTCGAGGTCACTACTACTGAGTAACATTGGTTTGATTCACTTGTTTATTTCACTTCTACTTCTTATTTCTTGATTATTAATCAGTACTAAACTAAATCACATATCTTTAAAACCACAAATCAAATTTAATTGTTACTCGTATTTTCGAGGTAAACAATAACATAATTATATAGTAAATGTAACGATTATTTTCAACACCTACTCACTTAAATATCTTGATTATAGAACTTTGCATGGTTCTTATCTTTCAGAATTTTAGCATGCATTTCTGATCAGAAGTGAAACGAATATGATAGGCTGCACACGTGTTACTTGTTGATTCATTATATTCCAATCAAGTTATAATTAATCAAAACTTGTACTCAGGGGCGAAGCTAGAACGCCCGAATCCAATAATATTAGTCCAAACTCTATATTTATCTTTAGAAATTTATTAAATATATGCAAGTTATTAATTTAGGACATAGTAACTTAAATAGACTAGAATCCTGAACCTATAATTTTTAAATTCTGATTCCATCTTTGCTGTTGTATTTTTATGATGTTTCATTCAAAGATCTCAAATTCATAATGTAACATGTGCTAATTCTAGAATCACAATTAAGATTGGTGAACGATTAATGGTTAGCCAAACCATCACAATCTTAGAAGATATATAGCAGACATATGTTCGTATATAAGCGTGACACGTTTTTCATAAGGAATTAAATATGAATGTGAAAGTTAAATATATTTTGAAGAAAAGTAACTATGATAATTATTGTTCATACTAACAAGAACATGATCATGGATATTTACACATGCCGATATCAGTCACGTTTATAATTAATTGGTATAAGTATAACTTTTTTTTTCCCAGTCATTTAAAAAATAACATAACTTACAGTAAAAACCGTATGATATTACTTAATTACAGATAGGGCAGCCCGGTGCACTGGGCTATGCGCGGGGTTCGGGGAAGGGTCGGACCACAAGGGTCTATTGTACGCGGTCTTACTCTACATTTCTGCAAGAGGCTGCTTGTTTTCAAGACTAGAACCCGTGACTTCCTGATCACAAGGCAACAACTTTACCAGTTACGCCAAGGCTTTTTTTCTAATAAAATATTAGTATGTGCAATATGTTAATTGTAAATTTAAATAACACATTTAGTGTGTTATATGTTCATTACCTAACAAGGAAGATGGAATTATTGTCAAGTCTTTCATTATCATATTTAAACTTTGGGCTAATAAAGGCATTTCTTGCCGCAATTTGACAAAGTATACTCATTAATAGTATTTTTGGCCTAATACCATGTTATTGCATATTAACATTTCTTGACTATTCTTTTTAATAACTAACTAGCCTCCTTGTATTAATTGTACTATTTGCATAGCTGTAGTATGAAAGGGAGCCATCTGATAGTCGGTGGCGGATGTAGCATTATAGTTAGAGGTTCAATTGAACCTATAACTTTCGAGGCGAACCATAAATTTATGTGTAAAAATTCATTAAAATTATAATAAATAGTAGATATAAACTTATAACTTTAAAAATATAATGAATGCAATGCAGAAAACCTTTAATATTAAACTCATAAAATTTAAATTCTGGAATCCCTCTGCCAATAATTAGGGGTGGGCGTTCGGGCAGTTCAGATTGGATATGAAAATTTCGGTTTGGATTTTTAATTTTCTGATTGAAGAAATGACAATCCAAATCCAATCCAAATAAGCTCGGATGGAATTGGATTCTTTAAGTTCAGTTTCGGATTAATCGGTTTGGATATTTTGGATTCTCGATTTTGAGCTTCAGATGTTCTTTTTTTTTTTTACAATGATGATTACCCAAATAAAATACCCATGTTAAATTGCCTGAAAAGTTCCTCATTCTCACCGCAATCAGCTAAATAAAGTATTCATGTAATGAAAGCAACAGAGATATTAGTATGGCCGATAAGAAGTAGCAATAGTAGAATCATATCCAAATAGAAAGTATTCTGACAGTAACTTAGTAATTAATATTGAATATATGAGATAATATCTAACTGATAGAGTATTGAATTTATTATTATTGCCATGTGAATAATTGACTAAATATAAAGTATAAAAAATTTGGATTTTCGGATATCCAAAAAGCTGAAATACCAAATCCAATATCCAATCCAAAATCCAAAATTTTTAAAAACTTAATCCAAAATCCATCTCGTACTCCAAAAATCCAAAAAAAAATTGGATTTTGATTTGGATTTCGAATTTGTCCAAACTATGCCCACTCCTGCCAATAATACTTGTCTTTAGGTAGCCAAAGTCCACAGTGTCACATGCAAATGCCCATGAAAGGAAAGAAGAGAACTAACATAAAAAGCAAGCCTGTAAAATAATTCTTAGTTAGGCAATTAAAAAGAGATATGTGCCTTTAGTACAAGTGGTTATACTTTCATTTTTAATTTCCTTTATATGAAATTGACCAAATCTTAGATAAGCAATTAAAAAAATCTTATATGGGTCCTCTAACATAATCACGAATATAAAATACTGTGCCCTCTATTGCATTATGTGAATATAAACTAATATAAACTAATGAGTTGTTAATTTGGACAATTAAAGTTGGAGGATAGAGTTGTTTATGTTATGAAATAAAAAGTTAAATTATCTACTGATTACGCGTTATCGTCGATGATTGGTATGGTTTGATATGTATTTGACCTTAAATTGGTTCATGTTAAATAATTGACTAGAAATTGTAGGATTTAATGACATATGGAGTATGGTGCCTTTTTTTAATACACTGTTTAAGTGATAAAACCTAGAGTAGTTGGAACTTATTAACATAATTTATATCCTAGTTATGAAGATTTTTTTGTTTTTTGTTTTTTGTTTTTGGTTGAAATAAGTTCTTTAAATAGAAACTTTGAGTACATAGTTAAGAGTTTGCTTTAATTAACTTAATTTAAATTATTGATATTAATATAAGACACGTGTCACCCATCCAAATAAAAACTTGGAAAAATGGAGATATTAGGAAATAAAGAGGAGTTAGATCCGGGGCCCTTTGGGTATGGTGAGTTTACATGGTTGAGCTTCAACACCATCTTATTCATTTGACAATCGTATAACTTGATTTGAGATATATTCAAGTCTGATACTAAATTTTATTTTTTTTAATAACATGACCATGTACATATGTATAAAATTACACTCGATAACCTTGAAAATAAATGGTCTTAATTTTTTGTCCCTTGCTTGTCTCATAGGCAAACCTTTAAGGTCCAAAATCAAAAAGTGTTGCTCATGAGGGAAGCGACGGGCAACAATTGTTAAACTTAAAGTTTTACCCACGAGGTAACCGGTGTCAAGAAATTAATAGTAGCACTGAAGTGTCCTATTTGTGTAAATCACCCTTCTTGAATTTCACTAGGTCCAGAAAAAAAGAGAGGCAAAGATCAGTTTTAGCTCGCGGCTGAAACTATTTTATATTCAGTAGTCGCAAAAGTGCATAAAATTTTTATATTTTGTATTTACATTCGGCTATTATTTTGAAAGCGGCTATACAGTATCATTTTTCCCACAAAAAAAATATTTGGGCTTTTTTAACTTTTAGCCCGCGCCAGAAACTATTTACATTCGGTAGGCGAAAAAGTGTATAAAATTCGTATATAACATACAGAATATATATATAAAAAATAAAAAAAACCGGCTATTACTTTGAGAGCGGCTATACAATATCACTTTCCCACAAGACATAAGATTTTTACTAAGATTTCTGATTTGGGCCTCTACTTTTTGAGCCCGAATCTGGAAATTATACAAACGTTGAATGGGCTAATGATGTCAACGGCTAGTTAACAAGAGATCCGAAACCAACGGCGTTAAACGACAAACGGTAATTCCGATCGTCAATCTTCCCCGTTAACGAAATTCAAATCTATAAAAACACTTTCCATTTCACAACGGCTACTATCTGACATTTCTCATCTTTAACAACACAAAAAAGCCCATCAATTGAATTTCTTCAACCTCCAACTTAAACCCAAATTCTCTTTTTCTGTTGAATGGAATACAACCCAAAATCTTACTGTCAGGTATTTTCATAAACACCTAATTTCTTCATTCTTATTTCTTGATTATTGCAATAAAAAGCTTTGATCTTGTTCTGTTTAAGTTCTTGCTGGTTTTTTAATATGTGGGTATTCAATAAATTCATTGGATTTTTCTGTTCTCTTTTTTTGTTTTCTTTCTATCTTGATTCTGCAAATATGTGGTTGCTTTATACTAAGAAATTGCAGCTTTTGATTTTTGTGGAAGTGTCTGAATAAACTAATAATGTTGTATAAATGTATGTATAATGTTGGAAATGAGGTTAAAGGTTTTATTATTCTTAGACTGTAATTGTATAACGTGGAACTTTCTGAACTTCCATTCCAGAATGTGATTAATTTTAGTTTAGAAGGGGAGCATTGACGTAACTGGTAAAGTTGCTGCCATGTGACCAGTAGGTCACGGGTTCGAGCTGTGGAAACAACCTCTTGCAGAAATGCATACAATAGACCCTTATGATCCGGCCCTTCCCGGACCTCGCGCATAGCGGGAGCTTAGTGCACCGGGCTGCCGTGTTTTAAGGCGTGAATTAAACTAGGTCATGGTTGTGCTAATTGTTGTCATTTAGTTATCATGTTTTAAGAAAAATAGTTGTTTCAATATATTTGCCATTTAGAAATCCAGAGAGAATTAATTATTAATTTTTTCACCTTCACCTGTACTCTAATGAATGTGGGGAGACTAATATGGTGAAAGCAAAAGTAGTTCTTAATAAATTGAGATCAAAAAATAAATAATAGTAAGTTAGTTAAATAATCCTTTTAATTAATGTTTTCTTAAGAGGTGCGCAAAAAGCAAATATAACAAGTAAAAAGGGTATAAAAGGAGTATACTTCTACTTGTGTGGATTGTTTAGTGCAAATCCATGGATGGGGAAATAAGTAAAGACTGCCAGATCATGTTTATAGAGTGAAGATGTCCATAATTTTATCCATTTCATTATAGAAAGATTAAAAGTGTCACCTCTGAACAGAAAAAGCTTAAATCTTGGACTTCTGTGGAGACAGATTGTGAACAAGGGCACCTAGTTATAGGCAGTTTATTACGATATGAAAACTCAGCTCCTTTGAACCTTTCCAAAGGTCTAGTTTTTGGGAGTAAGAGCTTGTGGGATCAACACTTAGCTGCTCCCCCTATATAGTTTTTGCTTTTGGAGATTCTAGCTTAACTCAAAAGCTGCAGTGTAAATGCAAAAACCTTTTGCCAACAGCTTCAATTTGTTTGTTTCAGATTTTACCTTTTTGTAGGTTGAGATTATAGTGTATGCAGTTTATGTATGCAATAAACTTATGGTAGTTTGTATTCTATTATTGGTAAATCTGTATTACTACCTATTGATCATTCCGCTTGTTTTCTTATTATCTTATTGTTGTTACTGCTTGTTGCTACTGCTTTCTTTTCTTTTTTCCTTGAGCCCGGGGGTCTATCGGAAACAGCCTCTCTACTTTCAAGGTAGGGGGTAAGGTCTGCGTACACTACCCTCCTCAGACCTCACTTGTGGGATTATACTGGGTTTGTTGTTGTTGTTGTTTTTTGTTATGTTGTTAGCTCTGATTTTATGATTGTTTGTGTATATGCTTATGCATGCAATAAACTTGTGATATTTTATTTGTTTCAGTTCTGATCTTTTTTGAGATTGATATTATAGTTTGTCCAGTTTATGCATGCAATAAACTTATGATTGTTTGTTTGTTTCAGTTACTGATCCTTGTTGAGATCGCTATTATAGTTTGTCCAGTTTATGAATGCAAGAAACATAAGAATTAGATCATGTTTTGATGCTGGAATTATCTCTTATTTGCAAACAGGTGATTTAGTAGATCTAGCTGTGGCTTGAGGAAATGGAAACAGTACATGAAGCACTAGATGAGGCCAAACTTGAAATTGAAAAGCTCAGGGCAAACTACCAAAGTAAAGCTGAGTTATGCGATAACTTGAAACGAGCCCAAAACGAGCTAGTAACCAAGAATCGGGAGGCAAATTTGAAAGTAGAGAAGCTCACTCATGAATTGACTGGGAAAGAAGATGAACTTGCTGTCACGAAACAACTGTACGAAGCAATTGAGGCGAAACTAAAAGATAAGGAGACTGCTGTCAAGCATCTAAGCTCTACAAATGATAAGCTTCGTGCTGACTATGCTGAGATGCTTCGAAAATGTGAAGAAGAGAATAAAGGGTTGGCATTGGCTTTAGATGGTGCCAATGCAACCAATATGGATTTGGAGCATCAGGTTCGTTCTCTCAAACAAGAAATTGAAGGGCTAAGGAAAGATGCATCGGCTTCACAGAAGAGAAAGTCCTCGGAAGATGAGAAGAGAGCCAAAGACACCAAAGAGCTGAGAGACAATAACGATATGCTACTGGATATAGAGGAGGAAAACAGGAAGCTCGCGGATCAACTAAAATGGAGGAAGGAACAGTTCATGAATCTGGAGGAGGCTCATGGCAAGCTCAGGCAACAACTTCAAAAATGTGAAGAAGAGAATAAAGGGCTGGCATTGGCTTTAGATGGTGCTAACTCAAATAATATGGATCGGGAGCAACAGATTCGTTCTCTCAAACAAGAAGTTGAAGGGCTAAGGGAATTTGTATCGGCTTCACAGAAAAAGTCCTCGGACGCTGAGAAGAGAGCCAAAGCATCCAAAGAGCCGAGACACAATGATGATATGCTACTTGATATGGAGGAGGAGAACAGGAAGCTCGCCGATCAGCTAAAATGGAAGAAGGAACAGTTCAGTCATCTAGAGGAGGCTCATGGCAAGCTCAGGCAACAGCTTCGAAAATATGAAGAAGATAATAGAGGGCTGGCATTGGCTTTAGATGGTGCAAATGCAACTAATTTGGATCAAGAGCAACAAATTCGTTCTCTCAAACAAGAGATTGAGGGGCTACGGGAATTTTTATCATCTTCACAGAAGAAGTCGTCTGAAGCTGAGAAGAGAGCGAACGCATCCAAAGAGCTGAGACACAATGATAATGTGCTACTTGAGATGGAGGAGGAAAACAAGAAGCTCACCGATCAACTTAAATGGAAGAAAGAACAGTTCAGTCATTTGGAGGAGGCTCATGGAAAACTCAGGCAACAACATCAAGAGGAGGAGAAAGAATGGGTAAAGGAGAGATGCACATTGCTGGATGAGATTTCTAAGCTGCAGTTGAATTTAGATTCTCAGCTTAGAATATCAAAAGATCTTGAAAGCCGATTGTGGATTTGCAATCAGGCTTTAGCTCATGAAGAAAGCAGGAGAAAGCTACTGGAAGTTCAACTTGCCGAGTCTAAAACATCCTTTGATAGTGTCTGTGCAGAGTATGAGGAATCAAAGTCTACAATTGAGAGCTTGACAAGTCAGAGGGACAAAGAAATTGCGAATCTAAGAGACATATTGGGCACAAGGGATGCACTTCACAAGGAAATGGAGTACCAATTCAGGAGGCTAGAGCAAGAAAATCATGAACTGATGACATCCCTTAAAGAATTCCAGGAAGCAAAAATTCAAGAAGCTGGAGCTTCTTCTTCTTCCTTGTCAAAACTCCGAAACAAGCTCAAAGGCGTGGAGCAGGTGCACAAGGACTGTTTTAGAAATCTCAAAGCCAAAGAAGCTGAATGGGCTTCTAAATTGGAGCAACTTACGTGGGAGCTTGATTGCTGCAAGTCTTCATTACAGAGCAAAGACACTTTAATAACTGAACTTCAAGAGGAGTTAGAGACATGTGAATCACTGACACTGCAGTTAACACTACAGAATGAGGAGACTTCAATGATGCTGTTAGTGTTAAAATCTCAGTTTTTGGAGCTCCATCAAAGAGTTGCTGATGATTATGCTTCTATAGAACTGGAAAAGAGAGAAGGAGTTGAGAATATTTCTACTCTAATCAAGCAGCTGAATACGAAGAATGAAGCTCTTGTTAGAGTTCAGAAAGATCTTGAAAAGGAGCGTGAAAAGGTAGCACTGCTATCAGAAAAGGTCGAGTCGTTGAACTCTGAAGAACAACAACAGCAGCTTCCTTTACAAAGAGAGGTTGATACACTGAAGAAAATGCTAAAAGAAGCATCGGCTTCTCAACATCATTTAAAGGAGCAGGTATTGCATACAAAGAGTGACTTGAAACAAGTTCGCGATGCCTTGGATAGAGCAAATGAAGAACTAGCTGAAAGTTTCAGTGAAGGAAATGAACTGGAATTTGAATTGCAGGTGTGGAAATCTGTTGCTGAAAAGTTGAAAGCCAGCCTGGAAGAAAACCAACAAATGAGGAGACAAGTAGAAGCCTCCCTTCTTGCCCAAGCCGATGTTGAATTTGACCTCAAACTAGAGACAGAAAGCCTTGAACTCAAGCTAGCAGAAAAAGATAGAAGAGTGAATGAACTCCAGCAGCAGCTCTTCGACTTGAATGAGGAACTCCAGAGAAGGGAACAGAAAGCACTGCTCAATGATGATGACAAGAAGATCTCTCAGGATCTTCAGAAGGAGGTGGAGTATTTGGAGCAAGAATGGGTGAGAAAAGAGCTTGAAGGTGCCATTTTAGCACAAGTGGAAGCAGAAACAAAGCATAAGAACGAGAAAGAGAACCTTCATCAGCTTGTTGACCTTGAACTCAAGCTGGCAGAAAAAGATAGAAGAGTGAATGAACTCCAGAAGCAGCTCTTCGACTTGAACGAGGAATTTCAGAGAAGGGAACAGAAAGCACTGCTCAATGTTGATAAGAAGATCTCTCAGGATCTTCAGAAGGAGGTGGAGTATTTGGAGCAAGAATGGGTGAGAAAAGAGCTTGAAGGTGCCATTTTAGCACAAGTGGAAGCTGAAACAAAGTATAAGAACGAGAAAGAGAGCCTCTACCAGCTTGTTGAAGAGAAAGACCACAGAATATATGATCTCCAGCAGCTTGTCAACTCACTGGAAAATGAATTTGAAAGTTTAACTAGTTCATTCTCAGTCAGACTCTCAGAGATGCAAGCAGAGGTTGATATGTTTCATAAAACTTGGGAGAAGATGAGAACAGCTGAGATTCTGAAGGAGATTGAAATACAGATGAGGAACTTGGTGATTGCTGAGTTGGAAAATGATTTGTCCGTTTCTGTTGGAGAAAGGACAGAGCGTGAAGCTGAGCTAGAAGTGAAAAGATCAGAGATAGACGTGTTGCAGCTTAGACTTGAAAAACAAATAAGAAGTTCGGATATTGTGATCAAGAAACTTCATGGAGAAAAAGCGAAGCTTCTTGACGATGTCAATGAATTGTCATCAGACAAGGACAAGTTGCTTGATACTTTCATGCGACTATCAGAAAGAATTGACCTGATATCTAAGGAAGATATGCAGTTAAGTGAGAGTTTGGAAAGGATGGTACAAAACTGTGACAACAGCAGTATGTTGGAAACAGACTTGAAATGGGATGATGAATTTGATCCTGTTAAAGAGAATAAAAATAGACGACAGCCTTCCACTCCAACCAAGAGATTAGAAGCTATTATTGATGATAGATCGCCGTTGAGATCTCTCAACAATTAGCTTGTGTAATTCAGAATAGGGAAGAGAAGTTATTTTTTGTATAGCTTCTTGAAAAATGTAGTCTTTAGTCATCTTTGTTATTTACTTATTTAAGAAACCAAGGAAAACTGTCATTTACATCTGCATTTTGACTTCTAATCTTCCATTTTCTTTATCTTTCAGCACCAATCAAACATAAAAAAGAGAAAAATAACCTCATCAAATACCATTTTCAAAAAGGAAGAATTTAATAATAAAATGAAGAACCAAGATATGACTTCTCTATGAGCAAAATATTTGGTATTCTCAGTCATATCCACATTCTGATAGGAACTCTACTCACTATTCAATGGCATTGGATTTTCCTTTGGGAATTCTTGGGATTATCAATTTATAATTACCAAAGTAGGAGTTGTAAATATAAGCAACCATGATTTAGTTAAAAGTTTCTTAGGTTGATTGTGCAATTTTCACATCAAAAAGTTGTAAAAATATTCTTATTTTATGCTCTTACAATGTGCATTCCTACATGCAAGTGCAAACCAGCAGGAGTAGAGTAGTTAGTTTATACATTGTATGTCAGCAAGAAACAACATCAAATTTCAACAATTAATTTTAAGCAAATCTTAATTAGTAGGATCGCCTTGATCTTAAAGAGCAAAAGAGCGGCCGAGGAAATTCCTGGATTATAATACATGTTAACTTATCATGTCAGTATACGAGTAAAAAATATCTTATATAAGTCAAAAAAAGTTCCAGCTCTATATCAAGATCATTATCATTAGTATCGATCTCAGCATGTCGTAATAATGTAAGAGAACTCCACATACCGAAAAGAAATTGACCTTATTACTAGAACATAATATAAACATTGGTGAGGCCCGAGAGAATGAAAAAGTACTTATTTGTCTGGTTCTCAGGCAGACATCCAAAAAGGACCACCTTTATATATATATATATATATTATATATATTATTATAATATATATATATTATATATATTTATATATATATAAGGATACGCCCGTTGCGCGTGTATTCTTATCTAAATGAGTACAATTTTTAAAAAATTATATTAAATTTCTGATTGAATCATGAAATAGATGTTAAGAACAAACTTGATTCTTGATTCTATTTTGCTAACTCATTAAAAAAAGAAACTTTGTCCGACAGGAGTTCTCAGTCATCTCAGTCGATATATTTAACATAAATTTTATTTAAGATTTATACTTTTATTGCTTTAATTTTACAAGTTACGCATCCTTTTTAGTTTTAACTAAATCATATAACTTTAAAGATTTAGAATTATTATATTTTTATTTTCAAAAAGCTATATATTCTTTTGTTTGTTCTAATTAAAAAGACATAAACAGGATGTCATCTAACTAACATAAGACATTAATACTACCTAGAAGGAGTAAAAATATGAAATCCATGTAAAAATCAGATTTAGAGTTTATTCTTTCAATCAATTCTCACGGATATAGTGTGTTAGTTTTCTTGTATTTATATAATCAGTTTTTATATTTTAATTGGGACGTTTTAAAAGTTAGTCTAATTTGATTCAAAAAGAAAATTATAATTGTTTTTTAAAATATTTTCATGAGAAAATTGTTACCAAAATAATTTTCTTGTATATTTTTTTGTAATCTATATTTTTATTTTGTCATGTTTATAAGCGTGCTCATAAGTAAACGACCAAATTAAAAAATAAAAAATAACATTCCTAATTTCTTCGTAGCAATGTATGTGCACGTAGTATAGAATATACTACTCCATTTAAATTTGATTTCAGCCTCATTCAACTCTCTAAAAAAAAGTTGTGTAAGACTATAAATATTTAATTAGAATTAAAAGCTAAACTAATAATAACGTGGACCATCTTTGAACAATTGTGGTTATATTTTTTNTATATATAATTTAATGAGTATTGTTGAAAAATTAGACAAGTGAGGATGTGAATGAATGAGCACTCGGTTTTATAAAGTACAAAAAATTGAATGAATTTAACGTTGATTGCATCACAACTGAAATGAGAGAACCCAGAAAATATACTTCCTCCGTCCCAACTTATGTGACTCCTTTTTTTAGTCAGCTCCCTTTCTATTATTGGTAACAATTCAACTTTAGATTTTCCTTTTTAACCCTTAATTAGATGATTTCTCGCTCACAACTTTCTACGATTTATTTAAGATTACAAGTTTTTAAATCTTCCTTTATTTCATAAACTCCATGTCCAGTCAAACACTTTCATATAAATTGGGACGACGAGAGTATAATTCATATAAGGAAAATAAATGATAAGTTAAATTATTAGATATAGTTACACAACTAACTAATGAATAGAGAAATATAATTCAGTAAAACGTAAAATAAGATTGACAGAAAATTATTTTGGTTGTATTAGTTAGTGAGAGAAATTGAGGTATTAAAAATTAATATGACAATAAAGATATAAATTTATCAATAATAAGAAATAATTGTATAAATAATCTGCTATATATAGAGAAATGTAATTTTGAGGCCCCCTTCCCCCACTAGCTAATATAGAAAGAGATTCCCGAATAGTAGTAGTCTCTATGAGTCCGTTTGGCTTAGCTGATTTAGAGTAGCTCGTAAACATTAGGTGTTGAAAAGCACTTTTAAGTGCTGAAGCTGATTTAAAAAAATAAGCAGTTACGTGTTTGGATAAAAGTGCTGAAATTAATAATAAGCAGCTGAAGAACTGGGTATACGAAAAGTTTTGTTCTAAAAAGAAGTATTTTAGGGATAGAATAGTAAATATTTTGGTCAAACCTAAAATGCTTATAAGCTGAAATTTGATAAGTTGGGGGAGACCAACTTATGACTTTTGGCTTATTTTTGGCTTATAAGCACTTTTAATTTTACCAAACGCGTAGATAAACCAAAAAGTGTTTATAAGTCAGTTTGACCAGCTTATAAGCTTAGCCAAACACCCTCTATGTCTCTATGTGAATCTCTTCCCTGATTCGGCCTGAATTTTATTTTTTTGACTGTCGCGCTTAAAATTTCATTTTATTTAACAGATGAAATTGTCATCCTATAATTCTAATTTTCTTTTTAATTTTCAAGAAATGTCATTTTATAATTGACCTTGGTGTTTTCTCATCACCTCACCTCAACCTCAAATTCCTATTATTCCAATGTGCCACGTGGCCTCGTTAATTGTATTTTTTCTTGTGGGACCTACTTTTGCAAAACACCATAGATCTCTCTCTTCTTACCACCTCCATCAACTTTTCTGTTGTTTTCTTGTTCTTGCAACCCATTATAAATACGACGTCGTTCGCCGCGTCCAATTCTATTTTTAGGGATTTCCCCCTCTCTATTCCCTCGATTAAGAGTCTGAATTTTGCGAGGTTAGCATCATCATCTTCTTATTCCTGTTAGCATTTCACTTATTTATTTTTTTATCTTTTGGAAGTTAGGGTTTTTGCTCAATTTTGCTAAAACTTTTTATTTTACATAGCAAGTTAAGGCTAGAAAATTGAAGAGACCCAGTTAAAAAGAGTTGATTTGTCATTCAAATTCAGCTTATGCCTTTTATTTTATTTTATTTTTTCAAAGTTGGCTTTTCTGCTCAATTTTGGCATAAAAATGCCACCCTGCTATAACTTTTTAGTAGTTTATATTGGAAGCCATTAGGCTAGAAATTTGAATTCTGTGAAAAAAAGAAAATACCCAGTTAAAAAGAGAATTCAACTTTTGTTTTTATTTTATTTTTATTCCTTTTGAAAGTTGGCTTTTTGCTGAATTTTGCTTCAAAAATTCAATCTTGCTATACTTTTTCAATTTATACTGGAAACTCCTTTAGGTTAGAAATTTCTATCCTGTTAAAAAGAAAAAAACAATTAAAAAGATTTGATTTTTCATTAAAATTCAACTTCCAAAGGCACATTAGTGATTCAATTTCAATTCTGATGCTGTTTCAAATTCTGGGTTTTGCAGATTTTTCCAAGAGAAGTAGAGGTTGTAGGGGAATCATCAATTTGATATACTTATTTTGCAGTTAGAAAGACTCTTGATGAATGTGGAGTAACCTATTTATTTTATATGCTGCCATTGATAGTTAATTGTCTGCTTAGGTTTGTCCAATAATGGCTGCTGCTGGTTCTTTGCAATTGTCTCATTATTTAGGGACTTGCAAGAACCATGAGCGCCTTAAGAAATATTCACCTGTACAGGTACCTTCCCGACTTGCTTATGTTTTTTTTTTCCCCGCATCACTAGTTCTTTTTACCATGTCATTTGACTTAGTCGGACTTACTTCCTTATAGAATACAATAGGAAGGAGCAGGTGGCGTTCTTGCTGCACGAGTTTGTCATCTTTATCATCGGTAAGGACTTTTGATTGCACATGGATGACTTCTTTGGATAACAGAAAGATTGGTGTAAATTGTGTTTAACTTCCTTCTCCCTCTCCTCTTCCCTTGCCCGTACTGTTCTTACTGAGGATTGCGTTGGAAACACTGCCTTATTTATCTCATTTTATAGAAACTCTTTGTCGCTTTGCCTTCACTATCCTGGTTAAAAGAAAGAAAGGAAAACTCCAAGAGAAAAACGAGGTGGCAATCTTGTAAACATGTAAAAGAATTAGTTCGTTGGGTATTATTTCATAGGATAGTGTAATCTATGCAAATAATGTGCTTATGCTTTTTCCTTGTTGATATCTTCTCTGTTATTCTGGCGTGGTAACGCGCTTGAATAAAGAGGATCAGGGGTTCTGAAATTTAATCTAAACTCACTAAGTTTTCTCTTTTGTGTTTTGTTACATCTTCAGCGGCAGGACTCTTGGAGTATCCATCATGTAAGAGGATTGCAAGTGAAGAAACATGTGCTCCCATATAGAAGCCATTTGTTCAAGTGTAATTCTTTCCTAAAACCAGAGCAAGCTTTTGACATTTCTTCTGTAAAGAATGCTGCTATTATACTGAAAAGGTAATTTTCGTTTGTATTCAATCACGCAAGATTATGCATGTATCATTTTCTATATGTACCTGCATAAATACAGATTTGTGTTAAGATGAAAAAATGAAATTTAAGGTTAGATGAGGATAGTTTGAAGAACGTTGAATTAGGAGGATTGCTATATGCTATATTAAGTTAAAGAAGCATGTACATCATGTGGCGGAACCCTTTACTTTTTCTGGATATA